TGTGTGTGTGTGTGTGTGTGTGTGTGTGTGTGTGTGTGTGTGTGTGTAGGGGGCTTCATTGCCATTCAGCAGCATTATGGAGGATCCTTAGAGGAGAATGTATTTGAGTTGAGCTTCAAAGGAGAACTTCAAGTTAAACAGGTGAAGAAAGGGAAGGAGGGAACTGTTAGCAAAGATATGGAGGTGGGAGAGTATAAGGTGTGTTTGGGGGACCAAGAACAGTCCAGTTTAGTTGGAGTACAGCGTGTGTAAAGGTTGGGAAAATATGAGAAAAGAGAAGGAAATGAGCAATTATTAAATGCCTAATATGTACCATGGGCCGCTAGGTGGCGCCATAGTGCACAGAGCTCTGGGCTTGAAATCCAAAAGCCTCATCTTCATGAATACAAATCCAGCCTCAGACACTTCCTAGCTGTGAGACCCTGGGCAAGTCATTTAACCCTCTTTGTCTCAGTTTCCTCACCTATAAAATAAGTTGGAGAAGGAAATGACAAACCAATACAGTGTCTTTGCCAAGAAAACCCCCAAATGGGGTCATGAAGAGTCAGACTTGATTGAAAAGACTGAACAAAAACAAATAAGTACCATGTACCATACACTGTGGTAAGCTGTTTATAGACTTCATCTCATTTGATCCTGACAACAACCTTGGGAAGGCTAAAAAGTCAGACTGCCCCAAACTGTGTAAATCTCAGATCAGTTTGACTTTTACTTGCAAAGCTGTAGGGAATCATTGAAGGATTTTAGGGAGAGGAGTAACTTGACCTCATTTAAGTGTAAGGAAGATTATTCCAGGGGCTGAATTGAAAGATGAAGAGAGTGAAGGTAGGAAGAACTGAAAGGAAGTGTAATTGAATTCAATGCCTGGTTACAACTCTGGGTTTTAGGAGGTTATTGTACAGTTGGATGGTTGTGAAGATTAGTGACTAGGGTTGGGACTTTGAGGAGAGGAGGGGATAAAAATGAGAAGAGAATTCACAGGTATCTGATTGGACATGAGGAATAAGGGAGAGAGAAAAGCAAAAGCTAATATCCACACTTAAAAAATGGGAGACTTGGTGAATTACTTTCCCTCCCATAGAATTGATGAAGACTGAGCGAAGAACAAGGTTAGGAGGAGACAGGAAGGAAAAAAGTATTTGTTAAGTGTCTACTATGTGCCAGGCACTGTGCTAAGCACTTAGCAAATATTATTTCATTTGATTGTCACAACAACTCTGGGAGGTAGGTACTATTATTATCTCCATTTTGCAGTTTAGGAAACTGAGGCAGACAGAGCTCAAGTGACTTGCTCAGGGTCATAGCTAGTAAGTATATGAGGCTGGAATTGAACTTATGTCTTCCTGACTCCAGGCCCAGCACATTCTCCACTTTTTTCTGGAGGGAAAGATAATGAACTCAATTTGAGACATGCTGAATTTGGGGTGCCAGTGGGTGGGACATCCAGGGGAAGATGTCCTGTAGGCAGTTGAAGATACAGGTATGGAGCTCAGATGAGAGGAAAGGACTGGTGGCAATGATTTTTGAAGGCAACTCCACAGAGGTGATAGTTGAAACTGCGGGAGTCAATGTTCAGAAGCTGTTGTTTGGTCTCCAGCACTGAAGGTGCTGACCCAGGTGAGGCAGGGCCGAGAGGAGATCCAAGCCTACTCGCAGAGAGGTGAGCCTCCTGAATGGTAAGGCTTAAGTCCTGTATCCCCTTCTTAACCAGTCTACTTCTCCTCATTTAGTTTAGTCAGAAGAGAAGCTAACTCACAATGAAGGATAAATGGCCCCAATAACTGAGGGAAGAAGGTGGGGAGCTGGATGCCAGGAAGGCACCTTATGTTAGTCAGGCAACAGAGAGAATGATAGAAGGAGAACAACCAACCTGTGAGATCATTCTCTCTTATCCTCATTTCACACATAAGGAAACCAAGGTCCAGTTAAGTGACTTGTCATGATCAATAAGTGTCTGAGGCAAGACTTGAACACAGGTTTTCCTGACCTCAGGTCCATTGGTCTAACCAGTGTGCCACACCACTTCTTGGAAATGGACAGAGGATGTGGATTCTTCAGTGTGGATACAATGGAAGTCCATTGGGTTTGGGATTTGAGAAACTTGAGTTAGAGTTCTGACTATGTAATGTACTAGCTTGTGTGGCCTTGAGGAAACCACTTAACCCGTCTTAAGTTTCTTCATTTACAAAATAGGTTAGATGACCTGCTCATCAAATTTGTGGATGAAAAGTTTGAGAGGAATAGATCATGCTTTGGATGGCAGAGGTATGATCCAAAACAATCCTGTTGGCTAGAGCAGTGGTTAGCAAACTTTTTAGTCTTAAGACTCCTTTACACTCTTAAAATTATCCAGCCTCCCCAAAGAGCTTTTGTTTATGTGGGATGTATCTAGTACTATTTACCATACTGGAAATTGAAATAGATAAATTTTAAAATATTAATTCTTTAAAAACAACAATAAATCCATCACATGTTAAAGTAAATAACATTTTAAAATGAAAAATAATTGTATTTCCTAAAACAAGAACTTAGAAGAGTGGCATTGTCTTACATTTTTGCAATTCTCTTTAATGTCTGCTTAATAAAAGACAGCTGGATTCTCATATCTGCTCTGCATTCAAATTGTTGTGATAGGTCGTTTTGGTTGAAATATATGAAGAAAATTCAGCCCCACCAGGTATGTAGCTGGAAAAGAGAGGAATATTTTAATATCCTTTTCAGATAATTGTGGATATTCTTCTTTGAACTTGAGAAGTTGGTTCTATAAATGCAATATCAACTCAGTCTTCTTGTTGGCAGTTACATTTTCAATTCACTGGTCATGTTGCCTCTGGGAAACTCCCCCGTATACTCATGAGAGAGTGAGAATGGAAAAGGCAAACGACCTATGAAAATAGTTTTGACCTCATCGGCCTCCTGAAAAAGGTCTTGGGGACTTCCAGGGGTCCATGGAGCACACTGGGAACTGCTGGGCTAGAGCGTTAGGCTGAATCTAACAAGATCAAATTCAATAGGGCGTCAATGTACCGTCTTACTCTTGGGTTGAGAAAATCATCCAGACAAGTTGAGAATTGAGGAGATATGATTAGATTGTAGTTCGTCTGAAAAAGATTTAGGGGGAAGGCTTAGTGGATTTCAAGCTAATTATGACTTAGCAACCGGAAGAGGCTATGTGCCTTCGGGCTGCATTAGAGAGTCATGGTTTACTGTTATGTTCAGTTCTAAGTGTTACAATTTAGGAAGGACATTGATAAGGTGGCAAATGTCCAGAGGGCAGCCAGGATGGTTAGTGAAGAGCCTGAAGTCCCCACCATATGAGAATCAGTTGATGATGTTGGGGATGAATAGCTTGGAAAAGAGAAGATCTAGGGGAGACATGAATGAGAATAGCCTTCAAAAACATTTGAATGGTTGTAATGTAGAATGTGGATTAAGCTTGTCCTGGGGATAGAAATTTTGGGGGAGTGAGGTGGGGGTGTGTGTGTGTGAAGTGGGTAGGAATTGCAAAGAGACAACTTTAGACATGATGTCAAGAAAAACTTGTAACAATCGGAAATCTCCAGAAGTGGAGTGGGCTGCCTTGGATTGCTTTCTCTTTCTTTGGGGGTCTTCAAACAGAAGCCAGATGTCAGGCATGTTAGAGTGGGGATTCTTTTCATGTATGAGTTAGACCAAGTGACCACTGAGATCTCTTCCAATTCCAACATTCTGTGCTTATGGGATACACCAGAGAAGCTGTGAGGGTCAGGTGAGATTATAGATATAAGGTGTCTCATAAACTCTATTGGGCTATAGGGATGAGGGTGATTATTATACAAAGGGATAAAAAGCCATGAGAATGAGCAGGGTTGGATTTGCAAGAGCTGGATGGAAATCTCTTGTCTTCTGTGGGGAGGGCAAAAAGGAAATGCAATGTTCTTGGTATGAAACTCTGCTCACCAAGGTGTGTCCATATTTTCAGTGGCTGGACCAAGGGATCTGACTGGACTAAGGAAGTACATTGATCAAATCCGAGATGACACCAACCAAACCATAACTGAACTTCGAGATTTAATTGGTGAGAAAACACTGCTGAGCCTGGGTGAAGGGGAAAGGTGGGAGCATGAGAGGCATTGTGATATAGAGGAAAGAATGCTGGATTAGGGGTCAGAGGCTCTGGGTTTGGGTTCAGTCTCTGTTACTTACTAGCCGGGTGACCTTGGACAAGGTCCTTTTCCTTCCCTGGGTTTCTGTTTCCTTGTCTATAAAATAAGGCAATTGAACAAACTCATCTTTAAGTTCCCTCCTGGCCCTAAATCCTCTGGTGCTGTTACTGGCATCACCTTGGCTGGGGTTCAAGAATGGCCTACAGTGGCATCATCTTGTCCTTCAGGCTGCACCAGAAAGTCCTGTCCAAAGACCTGGCTTCCTTTTGGGGGAAGCTGCTACTTTTTCTCTACAGTGACCAAGAGCTGGGATGCTGCCAATATATTTTGCATGGAGAATTACTCTCATCTGCTCATCATCAGCAACACTGAGGAACAGGTGAGCCATTCCAGGGACCGGGATAGGTGGGAAGGAGGATATCTTAGGTAGGGACCAGGGTTTTGGTCCTCCAGGAGCTTATATACTGATGTAGTGGAACAACCTCTGGATTGGGAGTCACAAGATGTGGATTTGAGCCTTTATTCTGACACTTATAATTGGGTGATTCTGAGCAAGTTAGTTAATCTGTCTGAGTCTTACCTTACTCACCTGTGAAATGGGCCTAATCATCCTCATATGATGAATCCCCCAGGGTTATTGTGGGGAAAATGCTTGTCAACCTTAAAGCCTCGTAGAAATCGGTTATCATTATTATAGTTCTTTGATCTCTCACCCCATGGGCCAATAGAATTCACAGTAAGGATGTTTCCTGAGTACCCAGACTTCTAGTACTTTTCCTGAGTGAACTCAATGACACAGAGGACTGACTTAGCCCGCAAGTGACCTAGTGATTCCAGGACAAATGGAATGGGAAGATCTCCTGCTCCTCCAGGGCACCCAAAGCTCTGTGCTTGACTATTTTTTAAAAATTGATTTTTATTGATATCTTTTGTTTTTACTTCATTCAGATTTCCCCAGTATCTCTCCCCCACACAGTCATCCTTCAAATCAAAGAATTTTTTTTAAGAAGGAAGAAGAGAAAAAAAACTTCAACAAAGCTGACCAACTGTTATGTTTAAAAAGGTTCAAGAGACATAGTTTCTGAGTAATTTGCTCATTTTATTAATAAGACCAGCAGGTTATTAATAAAAAAATGGTCATTTGGCGTCTTTCTCTGACCAAAGACAATCATGGCGGCAGACTCACAGTTTATATATCCTTCCAATAGGGGCTGATGCCACCCCATCATCATGTCACCCCTGGACCGAGAAAATATCTCCATACCTGACCACTCCTTGGGCTATTTAGACAAAAGGATCTGTTTCCACCCAAGCTTGAGTAGAACACAATGGACTACTCCACCCTAGATTTAATTCCTTGCAAAGTTGGGTGGGGTCCACCTGGGAGAGTCAATGCAATCTCATCATCAGTGAAGTCCTCCAAGAAAAGGGAATTTTTTAAAATGAGGAATTTAAAAGAAGGGGAGAGCCTCTGAATCTTCCCAAGATATTGGTTATTAGTTATCATTTCTCACATAGCACATCGAAAAGCCTGAAGATGTATTCAATGTTCCACACTTGTGGACCTCCCTCCTCCACTGCAATGAAACAAGCCTTAGTGTCTTCTCAAATCTCTTCCTTAGGGCCATCCTTGTTGTTTTTTTTTTTTAATAGATTTATAATATCTTATAATTTTATAACATTCACTTCTGATTGTTTTGTTTTAATAGTTTTGTGACATTCACTTTCAATAGTCTTGTGGCTGCCCTTTTCTCCTTTGTCTTAGTCATTGCTTACTCTTGACTTTAGAGATGCTAATGGCATTATCCCCATCTCCATAGAGGAGGTTAGATCTCAGGTACTGGGGCAGGGGTGGGGTTTGTTTTTAGGATTACAACATGGATTTAGAGCAGGAAGGAACTTTAGAAGTCATTGAGGCCAATTTCATCACCTATTGGAAATTAAGGACTGAGAAATGAAATGATGCTTCCAATATCATATAGATAGTAAGTTGCAGAACCAGGATTTGCACCCCAAGTCCTCTGACTTCAACTCCAGTACTTTGCTTTGTACCTGTCATGTCCCTGGTGGCTCTGTCAGCCCCAGAACTTGTTAGGCAGGTGGGTTATTACGTCAGATTGTCATGAGGAGAGTTCCTCACTGGGCCATGCTTGGATTAGAGACAACAGTACAGCTTACATTTATTGAGCACATTAAATTTTATATAGCACATTGCATAAATCAGTTCATTTGAGGGCAGCTAGGTGGCACAGTGGATGGAGCATTGGACTTGGAATCAGGCAGGCTCATCTTCCTGAGTTCAAATCTGGCCTCAGACACTTGCTAGCTGTGTGACCCTGGACAAGTTATTTACCCTATTTGCCTCAGGTCCTCATCTGTAAAATGAGCTGGAGAAGGAAATGGCAAACCACTCCTTTGCCAAGGAAACCCCAAATGGGGTCACCAAAAATTGTACAGGACTGAAAAATGACTGAATAACAAAAAGCTTATTTGAGCCTCACAAGCACCTATGGTTGCCATTATTCCAATTTTATGAATAGGGAAACAGAGACTTAAAGAAGTTAAGTGATTTGCCTAATGTCACACATAAATGTCAGGGGTGGGATTCAAACTCAGATCTTGCCTGAGTCTCCCAGCATACTACCTCAGTAAAGGCAGCCCAGTGGATAGAGCACAGGACCTGGAGTCAGGAAGACTTATATTTAAGTTCAGCCTCATACACTTACTAGCTGTGTGACCCTGGGCAAGTCACTTAATCTTTGTCTATCTCAGTTTCCTCATCTGTAAAAAGACGATAATAACCAATCTATTAGAGTCATGAGGATTAAATGAGGTAATATTTGTAAACCCTTATCAAGTGCCTGGAACATACTAATTAGGTACCAATAGGTACTAATTAACTACTTGTTAAAGAAAAAAGTGAAGACCTTTGGGTTTGGAGTCAAATAACCCAGGATTTCAGTTCTGGGTCTTATATACACTTATTTCCTAGGATAGTTGTGAGGAAAGTAATTCACAAGCCTGTAAGTTCTATAGGAACAGGAATTATTATCTTTTACTTAGATGCCTTCTAGGGTTAATTAAAGGAACAAAAGGAGGAAACTCATTGGTTGTTGAAAGCCAAATGTAAAGGCTTTTTTTTTTTTTTTTTTAGAGGCAATTGGGGTTAAGTGACCTGTCCAGGGTCACACAGCTAAGAAGTTTCAAGTGTTTGGTCTGAGGCCAGATTTGAACTCAGGTCCTTCTGACTTCAGGGCCGGTGCTCTATCCATTGTGCTACCTAGCTGCCCCCAAAAGAAAATTCTAACCAAGATCTTTAAATAAGATTAAGGATTGGAATAAATGGCTAACAATTAATGATCAGTGAGACAGGTACCAAATTTTATTTTGGCCTTTGTTTTCTTTAATAGCTTATTATAAAGGCATCCTCTTTTAAAGAGATTTAAGAGGTACAGTACTGTCGAATGGGAATAGTAAAGGATGCTGCTAAGAAGCTATGTGACCTCAGATGAATAACTTAGGATTTCTGGACCTGTTTGTCTTTCTTTTAATTGGATGGAATTGACCTAGATCAGGAATTCTTAACCTTCTTGGTATCATTGACTTCTTTGGCAGTCTGGTGAAGAACCTAGACCTCTTCTTTTAATAATGTCTTTAAATGCATAAAATGAAATTCATAGTATTAAAAAGGAAATTAATTATTTTGGTGTTTAAAAAGCTTGAGACATAATTTCTGGATAATTAATCATTTTATTAATAATGCTAGCATATTACCAATAAAATGGATCTTGAATGTCAAAGACAAATCATGAATGGGCTCACAGAGTGGGTGTTCCTGAGGGTGGCAATCAAATTTGATTGGTTAACAATTAATGATCGAGGAACCTGTTTTAATGAGGTGGGTGGGAGTCTAGCATTGACCTGGTCCATGGGTCTGATCACTTCCTTCATAACCATGTCCCAGGTGCACACAGTTAACCCTCTGCATTAGGTCCAGGGTTATAGCCAACAGCTTTGTCTGGCTTTAAAACCTAAACTGGTTGGGATCATATAATTAGAGGTGAAAGGTACCTTAGAAGCTATATAGTCCAACCTCTGATTCTATGTATTTTGCACATGAGGAAACCTGGGCCCAGGAAGAAGAAAAGACTTGTCCAAGGGCCCCTAAAGAGAGAGTCACCAAAGGTTCAGATTATTTGCTATCTAAGTAGCAGAGCTGGGATTCCAAATGAGGCCCTCTGATTCTGAATCCAGAATTCTTTTCACTGTCCCATGCTGCCTCATGTTTATATGTATATATATGTGTGCGTGTGTGTGTGTGTGTGTGTGTGTGTGTGTGTGTGTGTGTATGTGTATAGTGTGTATATACACTTTATATGTCATTTAAATTGCCCAGTGTTGGGCAATCTAATCAAAGAGTTTTGCTCCACCCAAACCTGTATAGAACACAGTGGGTTTTCCCATCTTAGATTAAATTACTTGTAAGGTTGGGTGGGGTCTGAACAAGATTGAGGAGAAAGTTAGTTAAAACTCATCATTAAATTAGCTGTCTTTCAGAGTTTGAACATCTACAGCCTTCTGAAAAATCCTGGTCCTAATTCAATAGTTAATTATTAATATGAAGGAGAAATAATCATTCCATTATATTGAATATGTATTTGTTATATTAAATATTAATTATATTAAAATATAATTATCAAAATAGTTTTTAAAAAGACATCATGGACCCCTGATGAAGCATTGTCTGTCTTTGAGAGCCCTTTCAGCTCTGACTATGTAGGATTCCACAAAAGCATCTGTGTATCTTCTGGTTATAGTGAAACATATTAATTTTTGTTATTGTAGAGAGATATTTAGAAATATCCACAAAACCACACAAATTGTAGGATCGAACTTAGTTGTTGACCGGGGGGCGGGTTGGGGGTGTGGAGGGGGGGGGTTGTGATAGCCACAGGGATGAAAAGAAGTGGACACGGCAGAGGCAGGAGTCCCTGGCAAGTGCTGAGTTACTATGTTACTGAGAATCCAAAAATGGCTTGGGAAGTTCTTTTCAAAAGCAGTGATGCTCAAGACAGAACTAAAGGATGGAAGTGGTTAGAGCAGCAGGAGGGAGAGACTGGGCAATGTGGTCAATTTAGTGCTCTGGCTGTGGACTCATGCAGATTTCTATTTCTAGAATTTTGTGTCGGAGACCCATTCCTCAAAGCGGACCTACTGGCTGGGGCTGACTGACAGAAAAGTGGAAGGGGTGTGGCAATGGCTGGATGGGTCCTTGCTTACTTTAAGGCAAGTTCTATCTCCAGGGTTTCTACCTCTTCTGCAGTGGAGCTAGATTGTTTGGGCAGAAGAGTTTTGGGAACAGCATGTACACAGATAAGTGAATGCAAAGTATATACAAAAAGACTTTGTATTTCCAAAGTTGATTAGTCCATCAATATGTGGAGTAGGGAGTGCATTTCAGGTATGGAGGATGCATCAGGTGCACAAGGGTTAGAGAGGGCAGTACTAAGGTGATGGCTAATCCTCCCATCTTGGCTATGACATAGAATGAATGAATGAAGTGGAGCAATGTGAAGAAAGGCAGCTGAGATAGATTGGAGCCAGGTTGTGGCAGGTTTTAAACACTAGGATGATAAGCCAACATTACCCTAGGTGACACAGTGTGATGCAAAGCTGGGAACAAAGTAGATACTTAGTAAATAAGGTTAATGGGATGGGGATAATCCTCTCAAGAGCTAGGGACTACCAAAACCTGGTCCCACTCAGCAGTACTCAGAGGAGTTCTGACAGGGACTTCCTGAAAAGAAAAGTCTCCTTCCTAAAAGCAGTGAGTTTTGGGGAGAATTAGGGGAGGAGGAGGAGGAGAAGGTGATGGTGGTGGAGGACGAGGAGGAGGAAGAATGAATTTGTTTTAGAGAGAGGCAGATTTCCATTTGAACTAAGGGAGAGCTTGCTAACAATTAGACTGTTCCAAAGTGGAAAGAGTTATCTTGGTAGGTGTCACAGACCCCTTGGGCAATCTAGTGAAACCCCTAGACCCCAACAATGGATATCATCAAGCTCCCAGGCTACTATTATTGTGGGGGTTGTAACTAGCATTTATATAGCACTTTAAGATATGCAAAGTACTGGGGCAGCTAGGTGGTATAGTGAATAGCGCTCCAGCCTTGGAGTCCAGAGGATCTGAGTTCAAATTTGACCTCAGACACTTGATATTTACAGCTATGTGACCCTGGGCAAGTCAATTAACCCTACTGCCTAGGCCCTCCCTGCAAAAAAAAAAAAAAAGAGATTTGCAAAGTGCTTTACAAATATTTCATTTGGATCCTTACAGCAACCCTGGGAGGTGGGAATTTTATTATTCTCATTTTACAAATGAGGAGACCGAAACAGTTAAAGGTTAAGTGATTTGCCCAGGGTCACACAGCTAGTAAGTGTCTAAGGCTGGATTTATTTGAACTCAGATCTTCCTGACTCCAGGTCTAGGACTTTATCTACCATACCACCAATGTGTCTTTCAGGTGGGAGAGAATAGGTAGCCTGAGATAGGATTATGCAGATCACAGGGGAAGGAGCAGAGCTAGGTGGAGTAAGTTAGAGCAGATGATGTAAGTTGTTACCCAGAAAATTTAGTTCTGAAGTTTAGGAAGGTGACATTGTGACCTGTCAATGGATGAAAGGGGCACTAAACATAAATACCTTTATTGTTTCAACTCTTCTCTCTTCTCTCTAGCTTCTGGAAGCTAGGGGAGCCCAATAATATGTACAATGAGGACTGTGTCATCATGCTCCTAGATGGCCAATGGAATGACGTATCTTGTTACTTGAGCACATACTGGATTTGTGAGAGGAAATCTACCTGTTGATTCTTTCAAGTGAAGCTGTGGCTGGACCCAGGGCCTCCTCTTCTTAGATGAATGTTCAGATTTGGGGTAGAAACTTACCCTTTCAGAAAATGTTCCCCAAGTCTTTGCTTGTCAAGGGTCTCAGACTGCTATGACATTGATTTCCTCCCCACAACACCTGACTCAGCACTGTCCAGCAAGATGGATGTCAGTTTAATTTCAAGGACCAGGATTTGGGTCTGAACATACTATAACGTGACAATAAACAGTGAGCTGTGTCCACTATGAGGTGGCTAGGATGAAAGTGGCGGGTAGAAGATCAATTTGGGCCTTGGCACTTGGTCCCCACAACTTTGATGACTTCATTGGCCATTATGCAGTTGAAAACCATCACTAGTCCCAAGGAATCTTAGGAGTTTGGGCTGGGGGTTTAGGTTTACTTCCAGACAGATCAAGGGTTTGCTTTGGTCCAAGAACTCTGAGTCCCTGCTTCAATCAATATGGGTTGAGTTTTAAGGAAGGCTCTAGGTCTCATAGGGTTTCCTGGATAAGAGAAAACATAAAACTGGGCTAAGCCACTTAGTTGCTGTGATTTCTCTAGATCCACTCTGGAGGTTTGAGCGGAACTGAACCAACCTTTGACGGATAGGTGAAGGAAGGCATCTCTTACCACATTTGATGGATTCTGGAATGTCTTCAGTTAGGTTTATCCCAGGCAGAGCGGCAGAGTGGGAGTCCATCATTGACGTGGTTCATGGGTCTGATCACCTCCTTCATACTCATGTCCCAATTGCACATAGTTAACCCCCTGCATCAGGTCCAGGATTATAGCCAACAGCCCTGTCTGGCTTTAAAACCTAAATTGATTGAGATAATATATTTAGAGGTACCTTAGAGGTCATATAGTCCAACCTCTGATTCTATTTATTTTGGACATGATGAAACCTTGACCCAGGAAGAAAAAAGGACTTGTCCAAAGGCCCCTAGGTTTAGGGTTATCAAAGGTTCCAGTTATTTGCTATCTAAGTAACAGAGCTAGGATTTCAACTGAGGCCCTCTGATTCTGAATCCAGAATTCTTCTCACTGCCCCATCCATGCTGCCTCATTGGTCATATCTTTAGTTATATCTATTTCTCTCTAAGTATTTCTACACACACATATACCCACCCATACACATATACGCTCATGATATATGCTTTATGTGTAAGTATATATTACATATAAATATATAAAGTTCACATACACAGACACACAGACACACAGACACACACACACACACACACACACTCACACACATAATCACACACTTTGCTGGCTTGAATCTTAAAACTAAGATCATGGCCACTGATCACTCCCTGGCAAATAGAGGGGGGAGAAATGGAAACAGTATCAGATTTTATATTCTTGGGTTCAAAGATTATTGCAGATGGCGACTGCAGCCAGGAAATTAAAAGATGCTTGTTCCTTGGAAGGAAAACTATGGCAAATTTGGACAGCATACAAAAAAAGCAGACATCACTTTGCCGACAACAGTCTTTATACTCAAAGCTATGGTTTGTCCAGTAGCAATGTATGACTGTGAGAATTGGATTATAAGGAAAACTGAGCACCACATTAACAACGCTGTTGAATTCTGGTGCTGGAGAAGACACTTGAGAGTCCCTAGGGCAGCAAGGAGAGCAAATCAGTCACTTAAAGAAATTAATTCAGGCTATTCACTGGAAGGACAAATACTGAAGCTGAAGTTTAAATATCTTGGCAGTGTAATGAGAGGATAGGACTTATTAGAAAAGACCCTGATATTGGGAAAGATTGAAGGCAAAAGGAAAAGAGGATGGCAGAGGATGAGATGGATAGATAGTGTCATGGAAATAACAAACAAACTTGGACGGACGTTCAGAGATAGTGGAGACTAGAAGGGCCTGGTGTGCTATGGTCCACAGGGTCACAAAGAGCTGGACACGACTGAACGACTGAACAACAATGCATATCTACTTCATTTATATATACTTATATATATATATATAATATATATATGTATTTTTATGTATACACTTATAAAACTTGTCAAGAAGTGGAAAAAGGAACAAAATTAAACTCTTTTGGCTTCAGATTCTTTTCTGATTGTCATTATTTTGTGTATACATGTTTTTAGGCCTGTAAATCATGTGTAGAAATAAATTTGTGTTAGCTTTTTTCATCTAACATGACTTCATGTGTACTTAGTGGCGGGCTATGTGTCTGTCCTTAGCCCTTTATTCTACCTAAGGATCTGAGAAGCTTATCCTTGGCAATTGATCAATCAATAAACACTTATTGAGTGCCTAGCATGTATCTGGCATTGTGTTAGGCACTGGATATACTTGTATTAAAGTAAAAGAGTTCCTGCCTTCAGGGAACTTACATTTTATTTGGGAGATAAGGATATGACCATTTCCTTAATAATACATTCTAGGATTTTTGTCCGGAATTGATGTTGACCTGGCTAGCCTATGGTTTGTAGATGATTCTGTGTAGGCACAGGCTTCCATCCTTGCCAGACCTGGCTGGCTTTACTTTATGCTGGCCTTGACAACCATGGCAGTGACAGCTGATGAGGAAGAAGATGTGGTCATGGAAACTGAGGCAGACAGAGAGTAGCAGCTGATGCAACTCAGGCCCAATCAGGGCACCACCACCTCTGCTGCTATTACCTCCATTCCCTACTGTTTGTGGATAGGAAATAGGCTACTGCTGCTCCCTGTGACTGTCACCCATTGTCCCATGATGGATGACAGCTGTTTGGGGGCATCTGAAGCATTCTGATGAGCTGCTAATATTCCCTCCAGCATATTTTTTTGTAGCCGAGGCTGTGGCCACCATGGAACAGCTCTAATATAACTCAAGTCTGGTCTGCATTATGGCTTGTAGTTGTTCCCCAAATTTCCTAGCGGCCATCTAGGAAATCCTCCACTTTCCACCAAGAGGAGAAAGGTATGTTTTGTTGTGGGCTCACCAGGGCCAAGATGGGTCATTATGTAACCTGTAGCCCAGGGACCTTCAGTATCCTTGACTAAAACAGACTGGGTCTGATCTTATGAACTTACCTCAAAATGGGTCAATTTCTACATTTTGGCTTGTTATAACACTTCCATGTTGGAGTTTGCTTGGGGGAAATTTTTAAATACAGCCTAGGTATAGCTTGAGCTAGCCTTTCCCATATATGAGTAATGGAGTCTCATTAGCTTTCATACAGACCCTTAAGGTATCAGTGAACATCTGGCTCAAAATGTCTTTATTTTATTTCACAAAAAATGAAAAAGGATGCAACAGACTCATGATTACCTCCAGGATCAAATATAAAGCCCTGTTTGGCTTTTCAAGCATTTTGTAACCTGACCCTTTCCTACTTTTCCAGTCTTCTTATGCCTTACTCCCCTCCTCATACTCTGGGTTCTAGTAAAAGTGACCTTCTTACCATTCCTTGCACATCATGTTCCATTTCCTGACTGAGTATATTTTCTGGCTCCTCTTCATACCTGGAATACCCTTCCTTATCATCTTTGCTCCCCAGCTTCCTTCAAACCTCAGCTCAAGTCCCATGTTCTTCAAGGAGCCTTTCCCAGTCCTCTTTGGTCTTTGCGCCTACCCTCTGAGATTTCACATTCATACTGTATATGTCTTCTTTGCATATAGTTTCTGCATCTTGTCTCCCCCATTAGACTGTGAGCTCCTTGAAAGAAGTCATATACATATACATATATATACATATATATACACACACACACATATATACATATATATACATACATACATATACATATACACACATACATACATACATACATACATACACACACACACATATATATATTTCCCCTTTGCATCCTCAGTGCTTAGTACAGTGTCTGGCACATAGTAGGAGCTCAATAAATTCTAATTGACTAGTGGTGGGCTATGCTGTTCTTAATAGTTGGCACAACAGTGGGTTCTTCTATCCCGTTGAGCCTAAACTAGTAAACGACCTTGGAGGCAGCCCAAGTCTCTGAAACCCAGCCAGTAATTCCCTGTGTACTTTTAGTAGGATGCCAATGAACATGCTCACACTCTCTTTTGGGAGGTGCTTTTCAGATGCCTCCAAGCGAAGACACATACCCTGTAATACTATTGAGATGGTCAGGGCCCTCATCAAATTGATAAGGAGCTTTTCTGATCACCCACTCCCTGCTTCCAAATGCAACTAATCAGAGTCTGATCACTTTTCAGAGTTTCAACTTATGTTGTTGTAGTCATTATATGTATTATGTATGCAGTCATGTGCGTATTCTGCTTATTTTACTCTGTATTGTTTTGGAGACTTGGGTGCCTGCCTCCATGATCATTGACCAGTTCAGGCTCAGTGGTATGGAAGAACTCACCATTGTGCCAGCCACTAAGAACAGTGCAGTCCACCATTAGTCAGTTAGCAATAATTAAGCACATACTATGTACTAGGCACTGTGCCAAGTATTGGGGCTACAAAGAAAGGACCCCTCCCCTTAGTCACTTCTCTCAAGGACCTCACAGTCTACTTAGAAAGACAAAATGCAAAAACTATGTACAAACAAAATGTTTAGACTAGGTTGATCAACAAAGGAATGGAGAATGGGAGAATGAATATGAGAGCTGCAGTAGAGATGAAAATGATAACATTTAATAACCCATTCCATTTGAGAGGCGAGAAAAAGGGAGGAGTTCATCACCTCAAGGTTTCAAATATGGGATACTTGGGTAGCAGGTGATGCCAAAATTAGGAACAGGGAAGTCAGATGGAGGAGCAAGTTGAAGGGGAAAGATATTGGGCTAGATTTTGGACAAGGTGAGTTTGAGGTGCCAATGGGACATGAAGGTCCAGTAGAAAACTGTGGTGTTAGCATGGAGCTCAGACCAAGAAGCCAAGACCAGAGACGGACATTTGAGAGTCATCTGGAGAGAGGCAATAGTTGACCATGTGGGAGTAACCATCCATCCTACACCTGCCCCTCCTCCAAACTCCTTTTGAGGTGTGGCATATTCCAGAATAGGAAAGGTACCTGGCAGGAGAAGGGGGTGTATCTAGAGCAGAGACAGCTTATTGTAAGAAAGATTCAGCTCCCCAATTCAAAGCTTTTCTAGACTACTGCCCCAGGCATAGAATGCAGCCCAGGATGAAATGCTATGGAATGAATGCCTTTAGCTGTCAACAACTTGAAAAGGAACATGAGGTGAACATCTATCATATTTCTGGCGAGGTTCAATGATGTTTCTTTCTACCTTGGCTCCCTTGGAAGCAATCCTAGTGATGAAGGATGGCCAGAAGAGGCCCCTGATCCCAGGGGGAGGAAGGAAGGCCTGCAAACAGAAACAGTGAGAATGACAAAGGAGGCCAGAAGTGCAGCCATTGACCCCAGAGGGATTTGACCAACTTTGATGTTCATACTTATCTGTCCTACCCATAATTGGTGCATTCAAAGATGCTGGGGCTCTGCTTATTCTACACTGTTACATTTGTAAAGGCCTGCAGCTCCCTTTTTCTTATATATAAGAATATATAAAGAATATAAGACAATGCTCACCATAACCAAGGAGGGTCACTCAGGATCAGCCTACATTTCTCAGAAGAGTTGGTTCCCTGGAACTCTGCTGTTCCATCTCAATGGACCAGAATGACCATCTAGACCAGATGGTAGGAAAGCAAATCAGCACACGTCCTTGCATCTTTTCTGTATGCTTGTATGTTACCAGTGGTCTGTATCCTATTAGATTGTAGGTGGCATAGTAGATACAGTGCTGGGTGAGTAAGAAAGACCTGAGTTCAAATCTGACCTTAGACATGTACTAGCTTTTTAACTCTGGGCAAGTCTCTTATCCTCTGTTGATCTCAGTTTCTTCATCTGTAAAATGGGGATAATGATGGCACCCAGGGTTGTTGTGATCAAATGAGGTTATAATTGTAAATTATAATTGGCACAGTGCCTGGCACATAGTAAGCACTACACAAATATTAGTTATTATTACTACTTTCCCATTTAGATTGTAAGTTTCTTGAGGGCAGGACTGTCTTTTGTTTCTTTTTGTATCCTCAGTGCTTATCATAGTGCTTCGTACATAGTAGGTGCTTAATAAATGTTGATTGATTGATTTTTAGAAACTCTGGTGTTTGGATCAAACTGAATGTAGAGCTGTGCTTCTGTTCTTTTCAATCTTCTTATTGGTGTGGCAGACCCAGCCTTTGCCTTGTTGTAACCTGGAAAAGCCTTGGATTTTTCAGCCCTGTTCTAGTTTTAGTTAATGATCCGTCTTTGCCATGGGCACATAATCATTGGGCCTGGCACTGCTTCCCTTCTATCTTTTTCCTTCTATCTCTACCGTAGTTGAAGTCTTTTATACCTTTAAGTTTCCAGGCTAAAAACATCCATTTCCCTAGTGATTGGTATATATCACAGCCTGTGACTGCAAAGATGGTAAACTAATTTAGGTTCTCCTGAATGGGATACCACTGTTCTACGGAAAACTTCTGGGACTACCTGACCCTAAGCTGCCCTAATGCATGGAGTGAGAATGGTCCCAGGAAAAACTTGATGTATTGATGTATCAGTTCCTGCGGCAGCCCCTGTCAAAGTCACAGTGGATTCCCTGCTTTTACCTAAAGACCAACGTACCTGAGGGTCTCTAGTACCATCCCTGGTTGCACCTCTTCCCTGCCCTTTGGAAGTGTCAAATTTGGAAGTGTCAATCTTAGCCCAGTGAAGAATGCTGGTGGGCTATCCCCACTGTGATTGTGTTAGCTGCTGCCCTAGTAGAAGAAATGCCTGTTCCCTAGCACATAGGTTCCCAAAGTGGGAGATACCACCTCCTAGGGTGTGCTGGAAGGATCCGGGGGGCAGTAGTAGCCTCAGGTGCAATTAGGGGGCATTGAAGGGTGTGGTGGAAGCATAAGGAAAGAAGAGAAGAAAATTATGAAAAATTGTTCATACATGTTTCATCTGTTGTGTAACAGAGTTAAAGTTATGGTGATTACATTATTTTCCAAATAAACACACAAAATGCAAAGTATAACCAATCAATGGTTAAGTCTGCCAACAGGTCTTAACAATCAAGT